CCCTCAAACACTGAAAACTATGAAAGCAAGGCTCCTTCGAGGGGGTGGGGCCAGAACTAGAGAGGAAGGACATGGCCCGTGTGTAGTGGTCCCTGGAAGGGCTGGGTAAGACGACCGCTGCACCGGGGTTTCAGGCATAATGCTAGAAAGGATTTAGAATTGCCATTTGAGATAACAATATAAGGGTGACTTAATCAGTACCCCAGGATGGTGAACCGTATACACAGGACTCAATTTTATTTAAATAACTTGACAGTAAGGATCTGGCAAATATAAAGCCTCTGCATGGCTCTAAACATGAAGATAGTAGGTACTCTGAGAATTAATCAAGCACCCAGTTCAGCTGGGACGCATTGTCATTCTCTCTAAATCCACACTGTAATTCCAATTTCAACTTAAAAATTCACAATTACCTATTGTTCCTTCAGCTAAACAGCTGTAGCATTTCCCTCCTGACAACACACATTCCCAATAAGGTTAGTTAAATACTTCCAGTCCATCCAAAGAGAGCTTTGGAGTAGCAAGGTCAGCCAGGGTAGGCATTTTTGGATTCCCAAGGGACGAATAAACTAAAATCGCTTGGTGAGACAGGGAAGAATCTCTTCACAGGGGTATTACCTCTATGTGCTCTGCTCCACATTTTTTTTCATATCAAAGCACTGAAACAAATAATAACAGAAGCTTTTCTCTTTCCCTCTGCAGGAAGAAAGCCGGAGGAGACAACTGCACTAGTTAACAGTTAACGTGACTGCACGCTGAATGCCCTAAATTCCCCTTCATGAATGCCTCTAGATAGAAAAAGGTTCAATGATTGGATTAGGCTTCCTACAACAAACCCCTGAGACTCAGAATACACAAAGGAGAATTTAGACAGAAAAGATCACTCACAATACATGCAGGGGATGTAGTAGCCTCCGGTGATGATTTATTTATCTCTCAGCATCTTAGCTACTTTAGTTCCTTAGCTCTGGTGGGAGGGAGCATGGGGGAATAAATCTCTACAAGGGAGTGTAGAACCTCCCTCTTCGACCATACATGAACACTAGATGGCACCCATAATCTTAACACAGAGTAGAAAGCTGATTGCCTTTTCTTGAGAGGCAAGTATGCCGACTACCTTGTAGGAAAACAGTCAGTTAGGGGAACTATAAAAATAAAACATTTCCCACTGCTGGCGTCCTGTGAGGTGCTCCTTAGTGAGGGTTTGGTGGTCACATCTGTTTGGGAGGAATCATATACTTTATCTGCCTCTAAGGAGATTCCCAATGAACACTGGTAACATGTAATTGAGAAGTTTTTCAGTGAAGAAACTTGGTACCCGAGTACCCTTTCTCTTAATGGCACCCTAATGCAATCCTGCTGCTTCATACTTTGGGAAATGCTGATCTAGTCCAAGCCCTGTCCCAAAGGCTCAAACTACCGCAAGAGGTCTTCCTTATGCAAGGTTACCTGACACTCTTTAAAAAGCATCCGGCACATTCTTAATGCAGAGTTGTTAGTAGAAATATGACATGCTCTATTCTAAGTGTTTTGTCTCCTCTCTTTCCCCAGTATGCTATATCCACATCTGTCTATATCTATATCTATATCTATATCTATATCTATATCTATATCTATCATCTATCTCTATCTCTATATCTGTACTCAGGCACATATTAGCTATATTGATATATTGGCTTTTAGGCTGTGGACATTTTGAGGATATTTATCTCATTCACCTTGGAGATTTTAAGACCTGGTACAGAACCTGGCACATAGTTAAGCCATTAGTAAAATAAATGAACTAGAAAGATTCTATAATTTGTGTGGGAAAATACTTCTGGAAAATAGGTATGGACATTATGCTCATGATCAGAAAGGTAATTGCCTATTATAGAAGTCTCTTCTCCATAAAGACTAATTGAGAGTAGAGACCTACCTTCCAGTTCTCTTCCCTGGGGATTCTATTTTTCTTCTCTATACTACATGACTGTTAGCATAACTTGTTTGCAATTAACCTTATATGACCTAGTAATATGTTTTGCATTTTTATTTAACTTGATTACCATTCATAGTTTTTGTTCTTGTATTTTCCAGGAAGGCATATCTTGTCCTGATATGTCCAATGTAAGCAGTAGATGCAGAATATCCTTCCTTCACATTTCATTGTTAATCACTCTATTCTGACAGTTTTGTTTTCATATTGTGATGTTTGAGCTCTCAAACCTGTTTATTCTTTTCTCAGAGTGTTAACCAATGAAATTCCAATACCAAGCCTTGAAACTAGCTACTGTCTAGCCACAGTTTAAATAATTGTCACAAATTTAAAAAGGAGAACTGTCCCCTCTTCCTTTCCACTTACAAAAAAGCAGGTAACAGCCCTGACTGGTTTGGCTCAGTGGATGGAGTGTCGGCCTGTGGACTGAAGGGTCCCGGGTTCGATTCCAGTTGGGGGCATGTACCTTGGTTGCGGGCACATCCCCAGTAGGGGGCGTGCAGGAGGCAGCTGATCGATGTTTCTCATCAATGTTTCTAGCTCTCTTTCCCTCTCCCTTCCTCTTTGTAAAAAATCAATATAATAATTTAAAAAAGCAGGTAACAGGTTCATTATTGAACTATTTCTTACCAATGTTGTACATATAAGAAAATAGATCTGAACTTCAGAGATTGTTTTGTTCTGTGAACTGTAATCTCTAAAAAGACTATATAATTCCAATTGGTTGCCTTATTTACTATGTGGTCCTGGCAATAATATTTAAATGGGTACAACTACTTTTGAAAGAAGAATTACTTGTGAGTTTTCTTTAATGAGCCATAAGAAGATTATTAGCTCATCCTTTTATCTACCACCAGCATAGAGATTAAAATGAATAAAACCTGCAGCTTAGGGGATTTCTCATTTAAACAGAGTTAAGTAGTCTAGTGTCATCTCTATGCCTCAGTTTTCTTCATTATTAAAAAGAGCATAATAAGACATAGGGCTGTTTGTTATAAAGTTAAATTAGTTATCAGAGTGACTGACTCAAAAGTACCACATAAATATTAGCTCCTTCTAGTTCTGTGCACTCCTGAGTGTGGTGTGTACACAGAGCAGTGTGTACTACGAAGGGCTGAATGAGACCATTGTCGGGTCTTGAAAAGAGATGGTGTTGTGGGGAGAAAAAAAACACTGATTTGGGGTCAGAAGACCTGATTTTGAGTTCAACATCACATTCAGTAGCTGTGGAGCTTTGAACAAATCATATAGCCTTTCTGAGTCCCCTTTCCCTGATGTGGAAAGTAAGAGTAACAATAACCTGTCTTGATCCTTAGAATTTTTTTGAAAATCCTCCAAATTAATGCATGTGAAAATGCTTTGTATCTGGGAACACTTTATGACGATGTGAATGCTGATTGTAATAAAAGGATAAGTGGATTCTCATTCTACAGGTTTTGAGCCAGGAAGATGAGGATACATTAGTATGTTCTAGATAGAATTTTAGAGTTCATCTCTCAGGCTACAGTGACTTTTTAAAGCATCATCATATTTATTCAAAACTTTTTCATTCAATAAACATTTTTTGAGAGAATGCTAAGCACCAGGCACTTTGCTAAATGTCAAGGATACAAAATCATATAAGACAGAGAATTTGCTTTCAGGGAGCTTTTTCCACTTAGCACAGAAAGAAAGATGTAAATAAATATAGGCAGTAAGGTTTAATAGTGTATATTAAACCTTATCATTATATCTTATATATCATTTAAGTATAGAAGGAGTATATGGGGAAGTAGTTGAAAGGGTGATGTTCAGTTCTCAGATGACAGAACAAGGTTTGGGCCTTTCCTTATTCCTTCCATACTCAATCCTCCCAGACTCCTGCTAGCTGATGACTGAGCAAAGGCACACATGTGTGGGAGAACCATATGACACATAAGGCAAGATCACTGAACACTTTGCTCAGGTCAGCTGACTATGTTATATAGGTAAATTATGTGTGTGTTTGGGGTGGGGGATGGAATAACGGCTAACAAATATAAGGTTGCTTGGAAAATTCTAGCTATAAGCTATAACTACAAAACAAAAGCAAATTTTTCTAAGTACATGATAAAAAACCATACTAAGTGCTTCACTGAGTTATGAACCATAACCTCAGTCATAAGAAGTAGGCTCCTTATGCAATTTCCCATTATTATTTGCATAAGTACCAACATTTCAGTGTAGACATGAATACTCACAATGGATTTAACTACCTATCATAAAGTTTGTACCAGGGAGATAGCTTAATGTAGTGGAAAGAAACAGTCATTACATATTTGAGTAAAAGAAAGGACGTGGAGAAGAAAGGAGGAAGAAAGGGAAGAGGAAGAAAAGAACTAAAGAAAGTGGCAGAGGAGAGAGGGAAGATGTAATGGGTATTAGAACTGAATGTTTAAACCCTTGACTCTCTCAAGTTACATAAAGTTTGACAAGTTATTTAACCTCTCTGAACCTTATTCTCTTCATCTGAACATAGGGCAATACCTTTCAGGGTAATTGTGAGAATTAAAAATTACCTTTATAACATTCTTGGTAAATAACGAGTGCTCAATAACTTGTTGTTGGTAATTCTTGCATTTAGGTAAATGGTGATGCTGCTACCACTTATTAATGTCACCAAATTGTGGATAGCATTATGTTACACATTTTCTTACATAGTTGTATGCAGAACTATACATATTATAAAGGTGCAGTTTTTAGAATAGAATCCTGGATTTGTAAAAAAAAAAGCATTTAAAATATAAATAATATACCTTAAAGAAGCATGTTTCTCAATTGGATGCACATATTCTAAGAAAATCTAAATAAAAACACTAGCCCCTTTACATGTATCGAAGGAAGAAACAAGCATCAAGCACCTGAACACCATTTAAACTGTAACATGTACCTGAAGCCATAATGCTCTCATCATTTTTCTTTTGTAATTAAGGTGCTTTTGGAGTCATAACTTAAAGTCATTTTTTTTCTTGAATGGTGGGAATGAAGATTAAGGAGAAATACTCACGGATAGGATCTGGTCTCCTCTCTGGAGCTCTCCACTCAGGTCTGCTGGTCCACCGGCCAGAATGAAGGACACAAAAATACCTTCTCCGTCTTCCCCGCCCACAATGTTGAAGCCCAGGCCAGTGGAGCCTTTGTGCAGCACCACCTTGCGGGGCTCCCTGCAGAAACAAGCAGAGAACACAGCTCAGAAGTGACCCAACAAGACTTAGATGGCTTTTACTTTCACTGGGATATGAGATACCAGCAATTCACTTACTTCACTTCCCAAAGTAAGATAGATCTTCACATCAAGAAAGATGTTACTATCAGGGAAAGTACTGAATTCCTCACTGAAATAAGTGCCAAAATACCATGCAAAGCCATTTCTTAATTCCAAAACATTTCCCTAAACTAGCCTTACTTCCACTTTAGCATCGTTTAAAACATCTGTTTTTATATTGAGCACCAAATAGCACTTGGTAGGATGGATGTATCCAAAAAGAGAGGGAAAACTTGGGGAGCAAGAAACTAGATCGACGAGGCCAGACATGAAAGGTCTTACAGAGTTAATTAAAATTTACTCTGTAGGTAGTAGGGACTCATTGGAAGACTTTGAGGTACCAGGAATAATTATGATGGGAGGCAGGAAAATCAGTTAGGGTGTTGACCAAATGATCCAGGTCCCAGGAAGTGACAGCCTAAACAATGGTGATGGCAGCAATAATGAAAAAAAGACAACATGAAAAGAAAGTTGGAAAGAGAAACAGTGGGCCCAGACAAGGACCCAGGCATTGGAGGAGGAGGAGAGTAAGATCATCTAAATAAATCACAAAAGGGGAAAGGTAGTGAAGCCCAGAGTGAAGGTAGTGAAGCCCAGAATGAATGTGATTTTTACAAGTTTCAGTTTCAGATAATGTTGGCACACCCACGTGGAGATGTTTGGAAGCAGTCGGACACAAAGGATAGGATTTGGGTCCTTACATGCAGATTTGAGGTCATCAATAAAACAATAAGAGATCAAATTTTGAGCCAACAGTTCACTGAGATCGTGGAGAGGCCAGAAAATTATAGGATATAAGATTTCAAGGGATCATAGAAGGCATCTAGTTCTATTCTCTGTGTAAGTAGTTTCAAGAAATGTATTCTGCAAGCCTTAGGTTTGACCAATGTGCCTTTTGTTATTTTGGTTTTTTTTTTTTGTTACTCCTCACCCAAGGCTATTTTTCCATTGATTTTTAGGGAAAGTGAAAGAGAGAGGGAAAGACAGAGAGAAACATCAATGTGAGAGAAACGCATTGATTGGTTGCCTACTGAATGAGCCCTGTAGGTCAGAAATCTGATTGCTTGTCTAAAATCAGTGTGTCAGCTGGGCCAAGCTCTATTGGGAAGCTTGTGTGTGTGTGGGCTCTATTGGGATGCTTGGGGGGAAAAATCCACCTCTATATCATTCATGCTTTTGGCAGAATCCAGCTTCTTCAGTTTCTTGTGGTTAGTAGGACTGCATGAGTTAGGGTTTTCCAGAGAAACAGAACCAATAGGAGATATAAGGGATTTTATTACAAGGAATTGGCTCATGCAGTCATAGATGCTGAGAAGTCCCAGGATCTACAGGTGGCAAGCTGGAGCCCCAAGGGAGCTGATAGTGGAAGTTTCAGGTCAAGTCTGAGTCTGAAGTCAGGAGAGCAATGTCCCAGCTCAAAGACAGTGAGAAAGAGGACGTTTTTTCTTACTATGCTTTTTTGTCCTATTCAGACCCTCTATGGGTTGGTTGGGGTCACCCAAATTAGACAGGACAATCTGCTTCAGTCCATATACTAATTCAGATGTTAATCTCATCCAGGAATACCTTCACACCACCTAGTTCTGCCTCTCTGCTGCCTGATGGGGGTGCAAGTCCAGCTCTGTTTGGCCCACTGACACCATCCAGTGGAGGGGGGTGCGCATCTCATAACTGCCTCCCCAGGCTGTCCCTGGTGGGGTCAGAACTCTAGCTACTGTATAGTGTACTAGTACTGGAAGGGTGAGGGGATACTTTTCCCTTTGGTGTTTGGCTGGAGTTGGGGCTACTATTATCAAAAGTTTCCCTGTTCTATTAGCCCACCCTTGCCCCAGGCTTTTGGTATAGGAGCAGGCTCTTCTTCTTTTTTAAAAAATTATTTTTGTTTTTTAAATATATTTTTATTGATTTCAGAGAGAAAGAGAGAGGGAGAGATAGAAACATCAGTGATGAGAGAGAATCATTGATCGGCTGCCTCCTGTATGCCCCCATCCGGGGAACAAGCCCACAACCTGGGCATGTGCCCGGACCAGGAATGGAACCATGACCTACTGGTTCATAGGTCGATGCTCAACCATTGAGCCGGACTAATTTTATTTTTAATTATGAGGGAGAATTAGAAAGGTATGGGAATACTCTATTTTGGCTGGAGCCAGAAGTCTGGATCTGAACACAATTTGAAGATAGAGGTCAATAAGGTTTTGATGAAGAGTTACTGTCTCCCTTTTCCCGAGTATAAAAACACTCTTAGTGGATCCAATGAGATTCAAGCTGTACATAGTAAACATAGATATAGAGAAGGGGGCTATTATGACTCTAATGTTTATCCATGTCCTAGACATTGTGCTTGATGCTTTCTGTGCATCATCCCATTTATTCCTCAAAGCAGTCATTGGAAGGAGGTACACTGATGTCTGCAAGTGCTTTGAAACTGATCCAAAAGAAAGATGGATGGTTGATTGATAGATGGATAGGTAACCTGCACAGCAAGTGTAGTAACATGTTTATAGTGGAATCTAGGTTGTGCATTGTAGTAAAAGTCTTCAAACTTTTATTTGTGCTTGAAAATTTTTATATAAAGTCTTAAGAAAAATCATCAACCCGATGAAGACATTATTACGGCAACTTTTTAAATTAGTGAAATGAAATGCTTGCCCAAGTTTTTACTGTTTCTTAAGTTGTAAAGGTAAGATTAACACACAGATTCTGACTCAAAATCTCTGAGTCTAGAGCATGATCTATTCCAGAGACTGCAAATCAGCAAGCTGAAGGTTTAATCTGACCTACTGTGTTTATACATTTTTGAATTAGTTGCTTATTTTTAAAATGAGAAAAAAAATGCCTAAAATATGGATTTGTGGCTTCATGTGGAATCAGACATTCTATCAACAATGACTCTCAAACTTGTTGCATAGCAACCACTGGCTAGAGCAGGGTCCTCTTTAGAGGGGCATTTATTCTCTAGTGTGCCATCATCTCACCTCTCTCTCCTGTTTCTCAGACAAGAAGGCTGTCAGTTTCACCTCATGTACACTTCTTGCAAAATTAAGAAGAAAGTGAACTATCTTGTACTGATGCTTCTATCAAAAATGGGAAAGTGAAAGCTTTATGGTACTTAGAAAAATGGGAGAGAATATCATTCCTTTGGAAGTAAGAGTTATTCTTACATGCTTACTATGTAAAGGGACTCTCTGCAGAAAGAATACAGCTTTAAAAGAGCATTGTGGCCTGACCAGCGTGGCTCAGTGGTTGAGCATCGACCTATGGACCAGGAGGTTATGGTTCGATTCCCGGTCAGGGCGAATGCCCGGGTCGTGGGCTCAATCCCCAGGGTAGGGGTGTGCAGGAGGCAGCTGATCAATGATTCTCTCTCATCATTGATGTTTCTCTCTCCCTTCCTCTCTGAAATATATATTTAGAAAACAAAAAAAGAGCATTGTGAAACCTCATTTCCCATAACTTCTCTATGTTACTTACATGGGCCATTTTATTAGTGACTCTGCACTTTGGTATATTGCTTCCTATTTGTATGGACATAAAGCATGTAATTCTTGAGTGACAGTAGGTTTTATGTATTTTACCTGGACCTCATTTATTGCAAGTGATCTGAACAAGACTTTATACCCAATTATTTGGAATTTTCTTAATTTGTGAGATTTAAATGTCTTTTTTAAAATAAAATTTTATATTGTAGTGAATTATGATGCTTATTTTAATAATGGGGAGAAATAACAAAGAAATAAATCTGTAAAATAATATGCAAATATAATGTCCTAAGCACACTCCAAATGATTTACTTTTTCTAATTTAAATTCCTATACTGAGGACTGATTATATTAAAGTGTAGATTTTAATTTTTTTCATTTATTTTTTCCTGTTAGGAAATAAAAACCCTGTGAAATATTAGAAGTTTTATTTTATTAATATTTAGATAAGCCAACTTATCTAAGCTAGTTGAGCTTAGACACATAGTTAATAAATATTAGAACTAATTCCTTTTTTGATTATTTTAATATTTACTTTTTAGAGCAGCTTTAGGTTCATAGTATAAGAGGAAGGTACAGAGATTTCCCATATAGCCTCTGCTTCCACACATGCATAACCCTCTACCCATTATCAACATCCCCCACAAGAGTGGTACATTTGTTACAATTGTTGAACCTACAGAACACATAATTATCACCCAAAGTGCATAGTTTTCGTTAGGGTTCACTCTTGGTGTCATACATTCTATGGCCTTGGACAACTGTATAATGCCATGTATCCACCATTATAGGATCATATGAAATAGTTTCACTGTCCTAAAAAAAAATCCCCCATGCTTCATGTATTCATCTCCCTCTCCACACAACCCCTGGTAAGTACTAATCTTTTTATTATCTTCATAGTTTGGCTTTTCTCCAGAATGCCATATGGTTAGAATCACACAGTATGTTGCCATTTCAGATTGGCTTCTTTCATTCAGTAATAGGAATTTAAGGTTCCTTCATGTCTTTTTATGGTTTGATAGGTCATTTCTTTTTAGCACTGAACAATATTCCATTGTCTGGATGTGTCACAGTTGATTTATCCACTCACCTCCCAAAGGACATCTTGGTTATTTCCAAGTTTGGGCAATTACGAGTAAAGCTGCTATACACATTGACGTGCAGGTTTTTGTGAGGATGTGATTTTTTCAACTTCTTTGGGTAAATGCCAAGGAGCATCTTTGCTAGATCATATAGTAAGAATATGTTTAGTTTTAGAAGAAACTGCCAGAGTGTCTTCCAAAGTGGCTGTACCAGTTTGTATTCCCACCAGCAATGAGTGAGAGTTTCTTACAAGCACCTGATGTCAGTGTTCTAGATTTTGACCACTGTAAAAGGGGTGAAGTGGTATCTCATTGTTTTGATAGAGTTTGCC